TTTTTATGGACCATTCAGGAATAATCTTGAGATTCACAGATGGAAGACTACAGGTTGAAAAACACTGATCTACAGGTATCATTTGGATAATCCTCCTAAGGTTTTAATATTCAGCTAAACTTGAACACCATCCAAATGGAGTGTAAGACCAAGAAAGTCTTGAGCACGTTCTTTATTTGAGTTTTTTATTATATCTAGACTGAGTGAATAATGATATAAAGCCTATGAACAAATGAAAATTAAAAATAACTTAAAAGCTGAAACTGTATAGTATATAAAAGGTTTTGTAGTTATTGACTTTACAGAAATACAAGGAAAGAGAAAGGTAAAAAAAATAGCTGAGCTTCTTTCATTTCAAATAAAGTTAACTCAGGAAACAAATTAATCTTCCTAATGCATACTTCTAATGTTCTCTTCAATTTCTCATTATCTTCTGCGGGACCATGGCAATAGTCAAAGTATTGCATTTATTCCTTACAGCAAGACCTCTGTAAGTCAGTATTTTCTCTCTCCAGAATAGTTATTCCTTTCAAAATGTTCATTTTCTAAAACCAAGTATATTGTTACTATATTTCTTAAAAACTGAATCAGTTAGTAGTGACTTATTTTATACATTTAACATTTTCCCCTAAAGCTTAGGTTTTAGTTCCTTAAAAACCTAGAGTGTAGGGCTTCTTACCTGCTGCCAAACTTTGTTCCTATCCCCTATGTCCCCTGAGAAAAATAAATAATTCTATCCCTTCTCAATAAAACCAGTTGTTCTTTTTCAAATGTTACCTGGATCTGGTAATAGCAAAGTCTGAATTTCAAAGTCATATCAGATACGCGAACAGAATTCTGCTCTGAAGGGGTTTACATAGCAAGTTACAGCATTAATAGCAAGCACACTACAGTGTACCAGTTATCTGGAAAAATGCCTGAACCTTTCACAAGTATTTTCTTTCTCCTTTACGGCTTTTACCTTCTCTCTCTCACCACAATCTAACAGAGTGCTCAAGCATGCTGCCAACTTCAAGCACATTAAGTACTCCCTCTGCGATACGTGCACACACTATTTTCAAATATAGCATCACACATACACATGGTTGAACCAGGACCTGTGTCTGGAAATGTGATTCCTGCTCAAGGAGCTCTCCATTCCTCTCTTAAGCCTGATTTCAGAAAAATACTCTTATTTAGGAAAGACTTTTAATCATATGCTTTATTTTCATTCAAAACAGCGAAAAAGATATGTACAAGTGCCTAACTGCCTAACTCTCAGAATACTAGAGCATGTGCTACGCTGTTTAAAATAATTATGAAAAAACTAATTTAATAATTTTGCTATTTTTTTATCCTCTTCTATTAATTCTACTTGCCAATTCTTCTTGTATCTTTTGTCTGCTGCAAATGATTTAGCAGACTGCAGCAACGATGCTTATAATACTCTTTGTCCTTCATTGTCAATGTACATTTTTAGCTTTCTTATGCTTATTTTGCCTCATATATTCAAGCTGGACCAGACTTGCTTTTATCAGTCTTGCCCCTTGCAATTTTTGCTGCGTTCTGCAGCTCTACTCAGTTACAGTGGTTTCTTTGTCTTTCCATCAATTCAGACGTAAAAAGGGTAATTTAGGAAGGTGGGAGGATATGGAGTGGGAAGTGAGGATGAGGAAATCTACTTCAAAAAGTTTTCCCTGCATTTTACCTTGTCATGCAGCCTTATGTAAAAACAGCCTCCCTTGGCCAGATCAGGCCAGCATACTTTCTCCCCAGCATACTATGGATTCCTTTCAACAAAACACGCTCTTGCTTAATTTTAAGTGCACACATAAATTTTATTATCTTCAATAATCACAAGATAAGCATAAACTGATGTGCTTTGCCAAGTAAGAATAAACTTATAATTGTGCTTAATGTTCTTCATTGAATCTTGGCCTAAAGATTGGCCATACCAGTCTTCCATGCTGCTGGAAAGCATCCAAGACTTTTGGTACCGTGTGTTATCTCTCCATGTCATCTAGTCTAATGTCTCCCTATCCATTTTATGTTCTCTAAGGAAAAGACTTAAGTTTCTGCCTTTGAGCCTGATTCCTGGGTGCCCCTGTCACTAAATCTTAGCTCAGCACAGCTGAACTGCAAGTCTTTCAACAGCTGATCATATGTGCATATCCTCAAAAGCAATGTAAGCCTCTGGTTTGTACCTACTTCATTATTTATTTTTAAGTCGTGTATTTATTTTTAGAACAAAGGTGCTGGGCTATTCAAAATGTAATGTAGAAGCCTTTGAACCCTTTTAGCTTCCATTTTCTAGAAGAGTATAAAATAACAAGGCTACTTATATGATATTCACTGAATTCCTACTGAGTAACATCTTCTCAGTATAAAATCTTAAAGCTATGGTTGATAAAGATAAGTTTTAGAGAGATCTCTATACCCTTGAGACACTGGGAGAAGGAGGATAAGGGGCTGGGGCCACAGTCATTCAAGTGGAAGTAGAGCTAAGTCAGTGCTGGATGCTAATAGAAATTCTGCCTAGAATAACCAATAACTTTTTGTGTCATTACCATTACTTTTACAATTCACTATGATGACCAC